AAAAAAAAAAAAAAAAAAAAGTTTCAGAAGCAGTTGGAAGAAAGATTATGAAGCGAGTCTGGATTTTAAATAATTGAGAAGTGGATACATTTAAAATTCAACATCAGTCTCTTACAATTCATCTATAAATGTCTTTTGGTTCAATTGTTGTATATGTACTCTTAGGGGAATGACTCGATTTTGTCTGCTAGAGTTAGTGAAATCCTTTTATTTCAATTCAGCTAATCATCAAAAAATTGTACTTAAAATTCTGCAGCATATTTTGACTACAAGGATGAGTCTGGGTTTCCAAAGCCCCCATCTTACAATGTGGCTACAACACTGCCCAGTTATGATGAAGCCGAGAGGACCAAGGCTGAAGCTACTATCCCTTTGGTTCCTGGAAGAGTGAGTATAATTTGCAACGTTACTTGATGGCTGCTCCATGGAAATTAAGTTATTTTCATTATCCAATTTTTATTCATTACTTATGATTGTATTGATTAGTGAAAGTTCAGCTAATTAAAAAAATCAGGTACATTTGCTTTGGGGATAATAAACTCATCTCTTCCTAAAAATGAGGAGGTAAAGAGTTATAAATAAGCAAAAAATTACTAGTCAAACCTGCTCATTTTTCCTATATCTCTCCTACTACCACCACTTTTTCAAGTCTCCTGGGATGGCTGAAGTATCTTGAAGCAGGAGCACACTGACATTTCCTTGATTCTGCACACTTAGTATTTTGCTGTTGGGTGGATAGCTGCTAGGGAGATCTAGGAAGAGAATAAATATGTGCAAATTTATACAATTAAACTCATAAAAGGGATCTTCACATTGACTTAGATGAACTCTGTTCCTCTAGCAGTCCAGAGCATATCATTTGTGGGGACATAGTGAGTACAGGTTCCATCTAGCCTGATGCTGATTCATGGAGTTGGAGATTGGGATGGTATTTAAACCAGTGGAGATTATTGGGCACTCTTGGTTCTTGATGTCAGATATATAAGTGCTATGTTTGTAGTTTTGTAAATATTTATACAGATTGAGGTTGATGCAGGTAGGGCATTGGACCAGGTGTTGGGAGAATGGAAGCAAGATAAGTCCCTAGAAATGTGTGGACTGTAAGGCCTCTAGGTTCTAGTCTGGCAAGAAACTGGAGTGAGTGATGAGCAAGAACAGAAGCCTAGCCTGGGCAGTATGATGGCATAGGCCCAAAGTTTCCCCTCTTGGCTTTAAGATATTAGACTGTTTACAGACCACACCTACTGTGAGGAGCAGAGCTCCTAAAATCATTGGTTGGCAGAAGTAGTTTATGAGCCCAATCTAGGATGATCCTAAATGGCAGTAATGTGCATTCAATACTCATTGGTGACAGAGAGAAACTAAGAACCCTAGTGTCTAAGGGCAAGACAGTCATAATGTAGCTGCCATGTATTGGAAGCAAACAACATGCTTGGTACCGTGCTTGATGCTTTTATATATTTTGTATGTTGTTTCCAATCTTCATAGTAACCTTGAAAGGTAGAGATTATCTCCACTGTACAGATGTGATAATTTAGATCCAAAGAAATAATTTTTTCAAAGTCATATGGCTCATATGTAGAAGTGAGAGTCAAACTGAGATATTTCTAGAATCCAAAGTTGTTTATTTCACTGTACTCTGCAGACCTGTTGCAATATGTAGTAAATAGATCAGTATGGAAATTAGCTCTGATTAATCACAGAAGTCTTCAGTGTACTTTCATTTGATATAGGTACATATTTAGGAACTTCTTAAAAGGTCTAATATTTAGCAGACATGTATAAAGCACTTTTAAAATATAAGATGCAGCATATTTTAGAGTGGGTAGGTAAAAAGCTTTGTATAAGGCAGTGTTCTTATTGTTATTCGGAAGCCTAAAATCCAACTAGGGTTAAGGGCCCAGAAATACTGATAGCTAAGACACATAAGAGCAGTGGACATCAAAACTGAAACTTTTTACTGGATGATCATAGCAGAAGATGAGATTTGATGTGGTCCCAGAATTTTGATAGATAAGAACATTCCAGAGGGAGAAAGCCCAGGAAGCAGGTGTGAATTCAGCCAGGTGCAGGGCAGTTCTGTGGATGTAGTAATTGGCTTTGTAGGGGCGAAGAGTTTGTGAAGGGAGGTAGAATGTTGTAACCAGAACTGTTGTTTGTAGAATCCCTGGAATAGACTGGGGTACTTAAATTTCATATGTAGCTCTTAGAGAATCCTTCAGAGTTTTTGAGCAGGGGTATGAGAGGACTTGTGTGGTGTTTTGGAAACATTAACTTGGCAACAACTTCTAGGAGGAATCATGGTAGAAGTGATACCAAGAAGACAGGAAGAACAGTTAGAAGGCATTTGTAATTTTATTAGATGTTACTTCCATGGATTTCTTTGGAGTATATCTTTGAGTAGTTATGCAAAAAAAACCAGAATTAGCTTTTAATTTTGGCAAAACCTTATTCTGCTAATGTGAAGTAAGAATACTAGATATTTAATGCCTTAAAAAATTATAAAACAATGCATTTTTATAGAAATTTCAGATAGTAGAGGAAGTATGTTAAGTTAGAAAAGGAAGCTGCCATGGCCACTGACTTCCCTTTCTCTAGTTCCCACTCCCTGGGGAACCACTGTTAACAGTTTGGATCTTACACACCCTTTTCTGTGTACAGCAAGTTTTGATATTCCCTAAAATATTTTTCATTTGAGGAACCCTCACTGAACTATGTACAGATGTATCACATTTAAGTATATATTCAATTATTTAAAAATATCTCAACACATACCTACATCAGTTAAAAAGATAGACCACATGTGTTGGTATTGTTCAGGATCATGTTCTTTTTCTTTTTTTTTTTTTGAGATACAATCTCATTCTGTTGCCCAGGCTGGAGTACAATGACGTGATCTTGGCTCACTGCAACCTCCTCCCAGGTTCAAGCAATTCTATCGCAACCTTCCAAGTAGCTGGGATTACAGGCGCATACTGCCACACCTGGCTCATTTTCTGTATTTTACTAGAGATGAGGTTTCACCATATTGCCCAGGCTGGTCTCAAACTCCTGAGCCCAGGCAATCCACCTGCCTCGGCCTCCCAAAGTGCTAGGAGTACAGGCATGAGCCATGGCACCCAATCCAATGGATCATGTTATTTCTAGATCTGCAATATTATGTTATCAAGTTAGGATGAAGGAGATCCTATCTGCTGATGAGAGTAGAGGTGAGATTGTTTTAGATCTGTATACCAATAGAAATACATGCTTATGGAGTTGAGCAGCAAGCAGTTCTGTAGGCTATTCATGTATGATCATGCTATTCTTTTTTCCCCTGGATATGCCTCATAAAGTACTTGAGCTGGTTGATTTTATCTCTGTTAGACCCTGGATTACTAATATTTTAGGCCCTAAACAGGTCCTGGATTATTGATAATTTTAGAATTTAAACCAAATGTGTAAGTAAATTTTCTTTTTCCTTGAGGTATATATATATATATATATATATATATATATATATATATAT